CAGAATTCAATTCTACAGCGATTGGCACAGGTCTCATTCCCCGGCAAAACTTTGATGAACCTGAAAGATCTTGAGTTTTTCGAAAAACCAAAAGATTGGGGGTGTAGTTGACCGTTTTCGTTCTTTAGAAATATTGCCGGGGGATGGAAACAACTCCGTTCGATGCAGATTTCAATTCTACATCGATAGGAAGAGTTTGTATGCTCGGGAAAACGTTGGTGAAGAAGGAATGACGGATTATATGTCGATTGTGTTTTTTGTTTGTGGTGGTGTTTATCGTTGATTTGGTGGGATTTTTGATTGAGGAATGTTTTATGCTGACTTGGTACATGCGTGGAGTAGCAGATGGTCTAAAAGTGTGTGTTGAGTTTGATTTTTGATGGTATCTAAGGAGTTGTGCATGGTAATCTATGGATATCATGGGTATTTTATGGACGAAACCTGATTGGTTATTTTTTTTGGTGGGGCTAGCGTTTCGTGGTGCTAGCTTCACATCGATATATCTTCTGGAAATGTATCATGTTAATGCGCTTGTGTTTGTCTCAGAAAATAGGAAGAAACGTGGTATTAGTATTGAATTTGTACTAACGCGATATAAATGCCTATAAATCTTCCAACATATATATTTTCTTTCGATTCGATGACTCAATTTGCAAAACTCTATTAGTTATGTGTTGTTGTCAGAATCATCAATATTCGTATTATACGAAAATAAATTTGACATTAGTACCTAATCCTTAAAGTATTATCTAATTTTAACAAAAAAGTACACGAAATGATGTAGTTCAAAGACACAGCTATTAAAATGAGTTTCAGCTAATCCAATATTAATATCAAATCCCTCTACCGAAAGGAGAATAATGCGTCAGATAGATACGAAAAAAAACTGTTAAATGTTCGTTCACTCTGATTGGTTGGTTAAAATTTCAACTCTTTTTCTGGTATAAGGATTGGCCTAAGGCTAATCGGAAGCTAAGGAATATGAATCTGAGGTTAGTTCCTTCTACTGAAGGAGGGTATACGCAGAATAAGTTAACTATATTATTTTCAGCTTCAGTTACTAGTAAATGACAATGATCTTCAACAAAACTTGATCAAAGGTGAAGAGTGTGTATCCTGGATTAGTCCTGTCTAACCCATTGTGCTCTGGCTATTTTTACTCCCTATTCGGAAAAGAAACATCTACATATTTCTTTTTCTATTCAAATCCTAATCAAACGTAATAAATTGGATGATGTTCATGGATGTGATATGTCATCAGGACTGTTTAGTAATTCTCACCATAAGATTTAGTAATGATTACATGATAGATACTCTAGTTAAATTAATCGGAATAAAATTTACCAATTTAATATCAGTTTCACCTTAACATTATTGAGTTGTTGACTACCATACGACATATCTTTTGATAGAGTTTTAGCGTAAATATGTAAATAAAAATAATGTGCCTGATTGCGGCTTTACTGTTTGACTTTCATCAACATCAGCCAAATAGATAACATCCAAATATGTAGAGGACTGCGCCAGACTAATATGCTCTATTTATAGCACCTCATAAAACAGGACTTTCTCTTCTTAATTTCTTTTTAAGAATCGTATTAACAAAACCTCATCGGTTCTTGGAGTGAGAACGAAAGGAAACCCATTTATCCCCTTCGGAAGTGAATCAAAATTAAAGGATACAATGGAGATATCCATAGAACCGGCTAGATGTCAATTTGAAAGGTTAATTCAATGTATACACTTGAAAAACCTCGAGCAGCTTGAAGGATTTTTTACAGAAACTTGATTGATACTCCTACGGGAACGAATCTGACAAGTTATCATTTTCTTGAAAAAAAAGTAAAGATTGGAAGCACTGCTGAGAATCACATACACATACTATTATTGCAACTTCTAGAGGTCTTTGGTTACAAACCCATCCAATACGAGCGACCTACTTTTCATATGTGTGAAAATGCCTATCCGGATGATGAGATGATAGAAGAATAAATAATACATGCCAACGATCGTGTGTCAGCTTGAGAGGCTTATACTAAGCAAAATTAGTCACAGTCAAAGATTTTTTGTGAAATGATCAAATCTTCATCCTATCTTAGCCATATTACTCAATCCAATCACATCCTCTCAGTAGAAAGTCAGCGGCAACAGAGCCACGTTACTCATTGTATAAGTTTTTCTCTCCAAAGTGAAATATTCTAATGAAAGACATTATTTGTATTACATACAATGCACACCCAAGTATACACTAAAGAGACCACTGAAATGAGACAATACAATATAACTCAAATGCTTTTTTTTCAATAACATTATTTTCATATTGTTTTCAGACTTAATCATTCATAACTTTTGGTAACTATCGTTCATTTTGATGCAAATCTTGACAAGTCATATAATTTAAATTTTGTATTTTTAATTCAGTCCAGTAAGAAAATAGATAAATTGATAGGACTATAATGTTATGACACAAAAACTGATTCCTAACATTGCTCACTCTAGTGAACTAAACTTTAATTTTAATAGCACCAGCATCCTTTGCACAATATCAAATATGGCACGAAAACCAAAGACATGTCGGTACCAATCAATTATCTTCAATGCCACACAATATACCATTTTTTTATCGCCTCTACACAGGAGACATTTTATCCGTGAAACAACTTCGCCATGCCCTTCAACTAACTGTAACCAAACATGGATCACTTCATACATCACTCATCTATGATTCTGACAACAATCAACTCATGCAGAGAGTTCTTACTCAACAAGATAGCAACGATGATATGTTTACAATTACTGAAAGTAGTTATGAAACTGATGAACAACTCAATGCTATCATCGAAAATGAGAAATATAATCCTCATCTTTTTCATCTTGCTCAAGGTCTTGTCTTTCGATGTCATATTATTTACTATAAACAAATCTCTTCAAACAGTATCCTTTCTAATAAAGATCTACTTATTTTCAATTTTCATCATGCTTTATTTGATTTTCCATCGATGGATATATTTCTTCATGATCTTAATCAAGCATATACAACAGGTCAACTGACAACTGATACCGATACCACTCTACGTTATATTGATTGTAAGTATATTCTATTGCTTATTCTATTTAAACTACTTCCTTCTTTTCATTTCTAGATGCTGTTATTGAACAACAAATGTCAATAAGTGGTGCAAGCATGTTTTGGTTTGATAAACTTCATAATTGTCATCTTGATCAATCGTTATCACTACCATACGATCGATATCGTCTTTCAAATGAACATCCAACTGGTCGTGGAACATCTCTTTCATTTGATTTTGGTCTAGATCTTT